TACCAGTGGACACAACAATGGTTTTATTTCACCTGGTTATGGTAGACCCTTCACATCATGATGCTACCAGATGAGTAATTAGTTAAGAGTATTAATTTCTTGTCTGAGGTAAATAATCCCAATTACCAAGGAGAAATAGGCTTGTTGCTATGTCATGGGTACAAGGACAGCCAGGTTTTGAAGCCATGCAATTCTCTGGAGCTATTTTTAATAAATTGTAACTTCTTAAACAGTCTATTGTAAGTACCTAAAGTGATTTCTATTATCCTAGTTAGACCCTTTCTGACATAAGATAAGCACTAATCTAACAAAAATTCATATCAGCTCACCCCAATTCCATAAATAAGATGCCTTAGTCATTTTATGCCTTTGATGGAATCATCTATAACATCAATTTCTCTAATTCAGAACTTCTCAATCTCATGTTGGATATTTAATATCAAAGGAAGACTACCGCAGTCCAATGAAGGCAGTCACAATGGTCTCATACCTTCCAGAAACGGAAATTTCGATCAACTCACCACTAAAACCAATTTAAGTGGTAATTTAAAGCAATGGTAACATGAGCTGGGCCATATAAAATTTTTTATTTAAATCAATACCAACATTGGACTTATGACCAATCATAGAAATAAAGATGGTGGGTATTTTAATGTAAAAAATAACAAATTGTTTTCTATTTCATTCACAGGTCAACAGACCCTGACCAGTTACTTACACCAGGTGAAAAGGATGGTATGGATTACCTAAGTTGAGATAAACAGCACTCCCATAGACTTGAGATGGGCACTGTGACTAATCTGGCCCAGGGTCCCTATCTTAAGAAAGATGGAGCGTTGCTTTGTATTAGGCAGACGTCTGGATTTACATGTTAGTTAAGTATACAGAGAAGGTTAGACTGAAATTTGAGCCTGTTTGTATCCATATATATTTCTTGTCCTTCCGCTGATCTGCTTAATTTTGTGGTGAGTTGGGATCAAGAGCATTGATGAACTTGCACACTGCATTCCCATCCCTGAGATCCACAGATTATTAGAGGACAGAATAAAGGGAGGCAGCAAAATTTCACTTGTTCCCACTGTGCTTCAGATGGCACCAATGCCTCCCATACTACGTATTGTTTCTGCCAGGTGACCCTATCTTTTTGGATCTGTGCTACCTCCGCATCCCTCTATCACTCAAATCCAGGGTTGTTCGTAGTAGCATGTTGTTGCTAATCACTGTGTCAACCCTCTGCGTTAAATAACCACCATCATAAATACTTCGAGTGCTATCTGTTTTCCTAGTTAGAACCTTTTTGATAAGATGCACACTAACTTCATAACAATTCAGATGTCATCAACCCACCCCATGGCCATGAATAAGATGCCTTAGCCATTTTAATGCCTTTGATTGGAGCATCAATAACAGCTATTTCTCTAATTCAAGGTTTCTCAGTCTCAGCACTTCTAAATTTGGGGACTGAATAATTAGTAATTATTTCTTGTAGGAGACTGTTCTGTAACGTGTACAATGTTTATCAGTATCCTTTGCCTCTGCTACCCTCTAGATTCCAACAAAACATACCTTTCCTCATTATGAAAACAACGGAAAATGTCTCCAGACAATGTCAGATGTCTCCTGGGTGCTAAAATTATCCCCTGTTGAAAACCACTGCTCTAATTGAAAAGTTGATAAAAATATTATTTTTCTCTTTTTCAGCAGTGATTTATATTTAAAGTAGCTCCTGCCTCTCGTGTCTCAGTGTGGCTATTAGGAAGTCGGATAAAGATAGCTACAGCCAGTCCTCTATAAAGTACCTTTATTTTCAATGTACACCTTCAGGCACTTGTTAATACAAAATTCCCATTTTATGTCATTGACATGTATGTAGTAGCACAAAGATGTTTTAGAGCATTCTAAAGCTTATGCTTCCATATTGTACAAATTTCTTGTAGTATCCATTCATTCAACTAACATCTATTACATAATTTCAAAATGTAAACATATGGATGAGTAATTTAAAAAGGACAAAAAATAGTTTTCTCAGTTCATCCTAATTGATTGATGTGCATGACATCCAGAGCAACATGAGAAATGACTTTGCTCTTTTGGGAAAGAAGGGAAATGGTTTTCTCAAGCCGGGGGTTAATCAATAGACCCTCCACTTAAAAGTATTGCCATTGCCAGCTCTGAGCCATGTCTCAGACAGTCAGAATGAACCCGACTCCCATCCTGGGCCACACAATGACTGGGCAATCTGTGAATGCTAATAAGGAGTGTGGAACTCAGAGAAATTGTCACATGATGCCCTCTAGATGTAAAAATATAAATCAAGCCATTGACTCAGGCTGCTTTCATTTCTTCCCTCAAAAGAGTAGTTTTTGATACTTCACTTCTCTTCTATGGAGTTGAGTAGGGACCACTCATTGAGATAACTAACATTTTTTCTACTTAAGTTCTCTTTATTCAATTATTGCTTTCATAATCAATAAATTTACAAACTATTTTACATTCCCAATAATATTTGTTTTCTATTAATCAAATATCTCCTCTAGAAATGTGTTCAAAACTAGGTAAAATTTGGCCCTCTATGTGAATGTCCTGAATAATCTTGTCTATTCATTTTTTTATCCTTTATTCTTATTTTACATATAGTTACCCACAGTAAACATGCGTTCCACTGGAAGACACTGAACAAATCCTCTGACGTTTACTATGTCCTAACTGCCTTAGCTGTGAGACAAGGATGAGCATAAAGCTACAGCTGCTTCAATAAATACATTTACCATCGTGTTATCATAACATCTGGGCAGATAGCTGGTAGCATTTGAATAAGTTATACTCTATATATTGAGAATAGAAAAGCATTCGTGGAGGTATCTAGAATTACTTATCAGTGAGAAAGTCCTTGATCAAGTTCAGGAATGGCTAATTTTCTGCTGATGAATTTTCATTCTGAAAGAGCCCTCAAAATAGGCAGAGGCTAGAACTCAGAAGATCGATACTCGGTTCTACTCCACAGAGACACGGGACGAGTGCCGTTACAGGAAGTGCACCCCTAACTGTGCCTCACCGCTTCTTGCCGCCCTTGATTTTCCTAACCCTGCTCCTTCCCCAGCACCTTCCTGACTGCTTTCTTCACATCCTTATTCCTCAGAGTATAGATCAGGGGGTTGAGGGTAGGTGCAAGGATCATGTACAGCACCGCCAGGGCTTTGCTCTGGTCTTGGGAGTAGTTGTCTTTGGGCTGCAGATACAAAAACATAATTGTCCCATAGAAGAGTGAAACCACCATCAGATGGGAGGCACAAGTCCCAAAAGCTTTTTTCCTTCCCTCCGCAGAGCGCATTTTCACTACTGCCTTGCCAATGCACGCATAAGAGGTCAGGATGATGGAGACGGGCATCCCTAGAATAATGAGCCTAGCGATAAACATTTTAGACTCTGTTGGGCCAGTATCAACACAGGAAAGTTTAACAATGATCAGGAGCTCACAGAAGAAATGGTCCACACGACGGTTTCCACATTTAGGCAGCATCATGGCCATGGACGACTGGAGGACAGAGTTGGCAATGCCTGAGGACCAGGAAGCTGCTGCCAGGAGATGGCACAACCTGGGGTGCATGATTGACGGATAGCGCAGAGGCCAGCATACTGCAACATAGCGGTCCACTGCCATTACTGCAAGCAGGACACATTCAGTGGAGCCAAGTGCCAAGGCTACCCAGTACTGAACCATGCAGCCAGCATAGCTGATCTTCTTGTTGCTTCCCCACATGTTCACCAGCATCTGGGGCACAATGCTGGTGGTGAAGCAGAGGTCGAGCACAGAGAGGTTTCTGAGGAAGAAGTACATGGGTGTGTGGAGTCGAGCATCTAGGATAGAGAGTAGGATGATGGTCACATTACCCAAAATGGTTATGGTGTAAAATGTCAGGACAAAGAGGGAGAGACTCAGCTCCAAGTCAGGCCGCTCGGAGAAGCCCACTAAGATGAAATCCCCATCTGCACTGGCATTCGTTGTTGCCATCTCCTCTTCAACACCTACGATTGAGGGAGACCAAATGCCATCTGCAGTGGGATTTAAGGGGAAAGGATGGGTAACTAACACATACACTGTCATTTTTGTGACAAGCGTGACTCCTGAATGTAACTTAAACGCTACTCTATCTTCATTTCCTCCTGTCTCTTCGAGTTGATTTTCTCTTGACACTGGGTAAAATCTCCAGCAAACTCATGATCTCTACAATCATGAAAGTGTTACAATTACTTTCTATTATAAGCAGAATCTCAATTTAGTCATTTGAAACCCAAGTCCCATGAATACTAAAATCTCAGAGTGTCGTTTGACATTGTGAATTCATCTCATCCCAGCTAGATTATTTTCCCACAAAGCCTGTGCTTGGGAAATGACTACGGCAGCTTCTCTCTGGTTCTAATCCTTCTTTGCCAGTACATCATCGGTGACGACAGGCTTCTCCCATGTGGGTCATGGATAAGAGGGCAAAGGGACAGAAGGAAGCGCTTACTGTCCCGAGATAGCGTCTTACTCCTTGAGCCTGTCAGGTATTTGAAGAGCCATTCTTTTCCCATGGAAAATGTGTGAATTCTTCACAATCACCATAGCGCTCCAGTTCTCCATTTTGGGCTGGTTTATCTCCTTCAGAGGCCGCTCACAAACACCACATTAAGCCTCTGGCAGATTCCGTGTCCTAGCAGCATCATGCTGCGTGGTCCCTTTGTCCTTCTGATGGCCCTATTGGATAAGCCTTGGGACAACCAAGTGGCCATCTTCTGGTGCACAGGTGATCTCTTTTGATCTTTTCCTCAAAACCATTGTGGGATCCAAGACTTTTCTCGATTCACCACCATAACAGTTGTCAGCCCTTTTATCTTGCCCTCACATGCCCCCTCCTACTTACAATAGGCATCATTGGAGTCTGAAGATAGCTCTGTTAACATCTCCCACCACAAGGTCTCTTGAGGTGAGGGACTGAGTACCTCACAAAAGCCTTTCCTGTGGGGAGGCCTGGTTTGGGGCTCATACTTCCACCGGCTCCAAATGAATCTTCACTAATTCACTCTCCCCTGTCCACTCTCTTGACAGCGCTTATTTTTTTCAAGTGAATGAAGCTAATTCTGGGTGAGTAGCCCAAGAATCATAAGACTGCTTTTATGAGAATATTTTTAAATGTAAATCCTGCATATGACAGTCTCTTAATTTCCATTGAGTCAAATACAGGCAGAGAGATCTTGGTAGATACTGACTCTTAGGTACCAAAGGTGGTGATTACATCAATATAATCAGAAATTTTGGAATAGTTTCTTCTCATGACTCTGAATAAAAATGAGTCACAAGAGGTAAAGGACATCAAATAAATGAGAAGGAGGGCTAAGGAATTCAGACACTTTTATTTTCACCCAGAATTGCAAATAAAGCACCAAAAATGAAGTCAGAAAATTGGCAACAAACTCATTCCACTCGAGCGAAGTTGAAGAAAAAAAATCAGGCAATTAGACAACAGGCTATTTCTATACTTATGAACAATTTCCACCTTCATTCTCCATATGATTTTTCTTTAGCGGTCCCTCTGCTGTTAAACATCAATACTTTTATTTGCTTTATAGCAATTACCTTAAATTAGCCTTAGGTCTTTCCAATTTTTTTCTTCTTCTTCACTAATAATGCTCATTTAAGAAAAACTTTTCCTTCGTAGATACTAATCTTTTGCTCATTAAATGGCATACCATATTTCCTTTGGTTATTTTGTTTGTTTGTTTGGAACTAGCTCATGTTTTCTGTAGGTTATTGGTTCCACTATATTTTATGTTTGGGGACTGAGAACACAGAGATGGTAAGGATTAGACACTGGTGTATATTCAACACATTTCAATATCTTTCTCTATAATGAAGTATGCTTCATTAGAATTCATGGACAAATAAATTTGGCAAATAAAGTGTACACCTGTAAACTTTAAATAGTTTTAAACTAATCCATATTAATTTGTTTTAATCACAGATTTTTTTTTAAATTAAAGATCAGGAAGTAAGAAGGTAAGGAAACAAGGATGACCATGGTTTTGGGGGGACTGGACAGAAGCAAGATGGATAATGGCCAGGGATATACGGGAAGATTCCATTTATGAGAGAACGACTGGGCTTCCAGACACTCTGGGGATTCAGAGTTGAAACTCAGGAAGAAGAGCAGTCGAAGACTGGGTTTCTTGTGGTCATGATTAAATCTATAGCAATTGCCAGATGTCAGGTGCAGGTGCAAATGTAAGTGACAGGTGCAAATTTAGTTAATATCTGGCCCTAAATCCCAAATATGTAATATTAGAATCAAATCTGAAATGCAGGCACATTTTGTTAGACCTACACAAAGCTTTAAAAATTTAGAACTTTTTTAAAATTAAGAACTCAGACCTCTCATTAACAAGTATTTTATATCAAGTGAGTGAACAGTGAGTGCTTGTCTTAAACAGGTAGATATTCCTTCGAATTCTGTCCTCACCATTGCCTACTCACCTCTGCTCTACCCCTCTGCCATTCTACCTTACCTGTCTACACTCCGTGGGCATTTGAGATGGAGCATCAAATGTCTGCTGCCTAAACTGAGGCTTTGCCATCATATGATTCTGTGGCTCCATCAGTTACAGACAGCTCCAGCCAGGCCCATGAAGACTCTGCAGGTTTCTATGCTTTTTGTTGCAAATTATTACATGCTCTTCCTGGAAGTAACCTTGGCATATATTACAAACTTGAGTAAGAAGAGCATGGTATCAAAACCCCATAGACAGGAGGAAAAGAAAACTAAAATTGTCATTGCTTTTAACAAAACTTAGCTGTGATCAAAATATGAGTTTCTCTCTTTTTTATTTTATTAAATGTTATGATAATTGAACCTCACTATGACCCTAGGAGATAGTTAGAAAATATATTAACACCCTTATATTACAACTGAGAAAATGACTAAGTGGTTTAATTACCTTGCATCACATAGTCTCTTTCCTGCAGAAACTATTTATCCTCTCCATGGGGAGAATACGGAAACGAGAGAAGTGTGGGAGTGGTGAAGAGAAAAGGATTAATTAAAAATAAAAAGAGTCCATTTATCGGAGAGTTGAGAAAAGCTGTAGAAATCGGGTAAAATAAAGAATCAGTGATTATGATAAACAGGTCCTAATCAATACATTTACTAAATGATTCTTGTTTGGAAAATTAACTCAAGTAGAGAACGTTGGTCATGATAAAGTCTAGATGTCAAACACGAAATCAAGAAGCTCTGTTAACTTCTAACTCAACCACATGTGCAAACTTGGGAAGATCTTTAACCTTTCTTAGTCCGAGTTTTCTTGCCTGTAATATAAGAATAGTCGTATAATTATTTCCATAGAATTACTTTGAAAAAATAGAAATGTCATACCTCTAGAAATAAACTTAAATGGTTATCACTAGGTAATCAATAATAGTGGTAATAATTATAATAATAACATTTCTCAAGTGCCCACTACAAGCTTAGTGTGCAACATGCATTATTTGCATGATGTCACTTAATATTCATATGTAATATCAGGTATTTTTATTATCACTGCCCCCCTTTTATGGAGAAAATTTCAAGCCTTTCATAAAGACCTACTCCTAAGGCCAAGGCCACATCCCCAGTATATAGGAGAACTAGGACTCAATGTCAGAATTAGCTCATAATCTCTAAACCATACCATACTATACCATTAATATGTAAGATAGCATTTTAGGTGGCTCTCATATAATCCATTTGTGGTTTATTTCTCCCAGTGTCTGGCATATATAAAGGCACTCGAAGCTTATAAAGTAAAGGGAAGAGGGGGGATTGTCAAAGTTCAGTCATTCGACAAAATTATTGTCAATTCTGATCACTCAGACTTGTGGAAAGAGAGGAGGGAAGATCAACTGCTAATCCCTCAGGCCATCTTTATCTAGTGAAGTGTCTTTTTAATAAAACAAACAAACAAAACTTCTCAGAACCTTAAAAGCATTAACAACTCAGTTTCGTAGCAATTTAAGTTCTGAAGTGTACACTCACGGGCAGAACTGCCTCAGCTTTTTGAAGCCTTTCAGGAAAGTTGGAATCCAAAGAGACTGAAGGCAAAGGAGCACAACTCACCTTCGCACACAGGTTTTAATCTGACAGGCTAAAAAAGCAAGATCTTGTCATGTTCTTTGTTATCTGCTTAAAATCCTAGTAGAAGGCGAGAGATCTGAATCCGTGAGGAGAGAAGAGAAATTATGCTAGGACTCTCCAAGACACACGAATCTCATCTCCCCGTTTTAAACAAACCTGCTGTCAAAACAGCCAAGACACAGAAATGTGTTCTCTATTTGCCAAGAGAGTTTATCAAGCCTTCACATCATGTAAAACCCATTTGCCACAATTACAGAAACCAGGGAAGCAAACTGGGATTCGGCAAAACTGCCAGTGCCTTCCTTTCCTGCCTTTATTCTTCCTGCTTCAACCCACAGATGGTTTTTGCTTTCTCCCACTTTCAGAAAGGTGTTTGAGGACCCAAATAGTACCCTTAACCACTTCGCTCATTCCCCAGAGGCAGAGACAAGACATTATCCTAAGCGCTTCTAAAAATGATCTTAGCTAAATCAGTTTCTGGCACTTCTCAGCAAGAGTCCATCCAACGTACCCAAATACCTAGAAGATTTTGATTGAATTGTGTGGCTTGGAGTTCTTTCTCCCAGTCTAAAAGACTAAGTTCATCATTGTAGACAGCTTTTATAATAAGCACCCAGGTTGCTGTGAAAAAAATGTCATCGATCCCTCATGTCAAATCTGTAAGTTGCCATGGCTTGTTTACAGAAACCACTCTGAATGACGTGCCCCAAAGTGATCAATTAGTGCAGAAAGTAAGGGACCCTGGGGAGAAAAGATAGGTAGCAAGGGGGCTGAAGTAGCTGAGGCAGTGATGCCTGTTTCTCCGTGCTTCCTCTAAATTTTCTCAGGTGAGTAAATATTTTAGTAAATGCTTCATAATATTTAA